GGGCGGTTGCCGTGGGTGGGTGGGAGGTTGGACTGGGTCGCTGGTTGCTGGGACTGGGTTGGCGGGTGGTGGGACTGGGTCAGCGGGTGCTGGGACTGGGTCAGCGGGAGCTGTGACTGGGTTAGTGGGAGCTGGGGACTGGGTCGGCGGGTGGTGGGACTGGGATTGGGTCGTTGGGTGGTGGGACTGTGTCAGCGCGTGCTGGGACTGGGTGAGAGGGTGGTGGGACTGGGTCGCTGGGTGTTGGGACTGGGTGAGCGGCTGCTGGGAATGCGTCAGCGGGTGCTGGGACTGGGTCAGCGGGAGATGGGACTGGCTCAGCAGGAGGTGGGACTGGGTCGGTGGGTGCTGGGAGTGGGTAAATGGGTGGTTCGAGTTAGTCGGTCGGGGGTTTGTGTGGGTCGGTCGGTGTGTTGGTACGTCCTCGGTGTGGGTGGGTCGGTGTGTCGGTACGTCCTCGGTGTGGGTCGGTCGGTAGGTGCTGTGCATCTTTTTTTTTCTTTTTTTTTATTTATTTATTAACGGGCCCAGTGCCCAAGCCCGATATTACGAAACAGATGATTGACGCCGGGGTCCTCACAGTCTGCGCGGAGTAACCGAACCCAGCTTGCTCAGAACCGGGCTCAGCGTACCACCTCGGATGATGCAAATTTTTTTTATTTTTTTTTTAACGGGCCCAGTGGCGAAGCCTGATATTACGAAACAGATGATTGAGGCCGGGGTCGTCACAGTCTACTCGGAGTAACCGAACCCAGCTTGGTGAGTGCGCGGACTGGGTCAGCGGGTGGTTGGACTGGGTCGCTGGCTGCTCGGACTGGGTTGGTGGGTGCTCGGACTGGGTCGTTGCCTGCTCGGACTGGGACAACGGGTTCCAGCAGAATGGTGCCACGAATGTGTCGTGTCTTATTACGATGTTATGCTTCCTGTTTCTGCATAACATCTCCAGGGTATTCTTTGTCATGGCGCGGGGTGCGTCCTCCAGTTCGGCATCGACATTTTTGTCGGAAGACGTATACTGGAATTACGACTACTCGAGTCGTTATCCAGGCCAGCCGAAGCGGCCGTCGGACGATGAGCTTTTAGAAGTGTGTGGCGAGCGTTTGGGTGATGAGTCTGGGGTGAGATGGTCGTTTGACGAAATGTTGCAATTGTTGTACATGAAGCAGCAGGAAGTGACTGCTTTGAAAATGTTGCTTGACCGGCAAGAGAAAGAGCATCTGGAGGCGTTGGAAAGGACGTTGAACGAGATCAGGTTGGGGCCATGCGAGGGGGCAGGGGGTAGAAAGAGGGCGAAGCAAGAAGAGAAGGGGGCCGACAGGAAAAGAGGAACAGATATGGCCGTAGAGGGAAAACGTGTGGATGAAAATCTGAAGTTGCGCTCGATTTACACTGTTCGCTGTCATACGCTGGGATCACTGAGGGACATGGTGGTGAACCTGCACAGCAACAGGGACGAGTCACTGTTGCAAAACATGATTCGTTGGAGGGAGAGGGCGGTAAGTTTAGATATCCAGGTTAGAAAGTTGTTGACCATATCTGACACCCGTGGGGACATCTATGTGCTTGCCGGTGCGTTGTTCAAACGTCCGAAGGAGAGTACAATGCAGGAGATGGAAAAGAGGGATGCGTTGAGTGCTCATAGGTGTCTGGAGGGGCTGGCTGAGACGTTTCTCCAGAGGGCGATAATGGCTGAGGTGCAAACTGCGCTCAACTTCCCGTTGACAAAGCGCCAGGAAGAGGGTACCATGGAGTGTCTGTTCAACCTGTTGCTTCGGTCAATGCGATGCCGCCAGCGTTTGGCAGATATGATTTCCGCAGAACAGTCGGTAACGGAGGATTACAAACTCACCCTGCAACAGGCAGCGGATTTGGTACGTATGAAGTCAATGCTGGGTCAGACTCTACTTCTTTCCGCGCGGACACGGGATGCAACGCAAGGTGAGAAAAAGGAGATTGGAATCCTGATTGTGGAGTTGTTGCTGCTGCAAAAGTCGCATGCAAAGCTGCAAAAAGAGTATGCTTACCTGCATGTCCTTCGCTGTCTGGAACGGCGTGCACATTGTCCGAAGTGCGGGTGCACATTGGACGAAATACGGCCACACGATCCGGAGGCAAGGAAAACGAGATGCGAGAAGATCCGGGAGCGGATCCTTGAGGTGAACAACGCGCATGGGCGGAGTGTGCAAGGGGTGCGGCCAAGTTATTCGTTGGAGTCGTCGTTGGAGTCAAAATTCACAGGGAGGGAAGTGCGCAATGCGCTGCGAGAATACAGAAAATCCATAGTTGAGATGGGAGAGAGGCTACGGAGTATTGACACAGAGCGCACAGAGTTTGTGGACAACATGTACGCCGAGGTTGTGATTGGTGGTGACGTTGTGATCGATCACCAGCCGGGGGAGGGTCCCCTAGTGTATGATGCGATGGCACGCGTGCGTGGGGAGGACGGCATGCCTGGTTTGATTCCGGTGTGGTATGACGGGGAGGATGAGCGTTTGGACGAGGATTACATATGAATTGACTTGCGCCGCGGTGGGTTGTTTCCCGGACCGGGGTGTTGGTAGGATGGGGATATAAGGGAACGTTGGGCTGTGCCGGCATGCCGGCGGATTGCTGGGCCGGAGGGATGGGTGGAGATGTGCGCTCTATGTACATCGCTTCGGACTGGGTCGGTGGGTGGTGGTAGGGGGTCGGTGTGTGCTCGGACTTCGTTGACGGCTTCTGGGACTGGGTCGGAGGTGCTTGGACTGTGTCGGTGCGTTCTCGGAGCGGGTGGCAGGTGGTTAGAGTGGGTCGGTGGGTGTTTGGAGTGGGTCCGTGGTTGCATGGACCGGCGTGGTGGGTGCTGGGGTTTAGTCGGGCGGTCCGTGGGTGCTGGGACTGGGTGCGTGTGTGCTGGGACTGGGTCGGTGGGTGCTGGGACTGGTTCCGTAGCTGCTGGGACCGGGAATGTGCGGACTGGGAGCGGCTCCGTGGGTGTTGGGACGCGGCCCGTGGGAACTGAGAGTGGGTCCGTGGGAACTGGGACTGGGTCCGTGGCTGCTGGGACCGGGTCCATGGGAGCCGGGACCGGGTGGGTGCTTGCTGGGACTGGGTCCGTTGCTGTTGGGACCAGTATGTGTTTGCAGTCCCTCGGTGGGTGCGTGGCTGGTGGGACTGGGTCCGTTGGTGTTGGAATCGGTATGTGTTTGCAGTCCCTCGGGGCTTGGACTGGGTCCGTGGGTGCTGGGACCGGGGACAGGGTACGTGGGTGCTGGGACCAGGGATGTGCGAACTGGGACTGGGTCCGTAGGTGCTGGGACCGGGGATGTGCGAACTGGGACTGGGTGCGTGGGTGTTGGGACGAGGCCGGTGGAAAGTGGGATTGGGTCCGTGGGAACTAGGACTAGGTCCGCGGGAACTGGGACTGGGTCTGTTGCAACTGGGACTGGGCCTGTGGGTGTTGGGACCGGTATGTGTTTGCAGTCCCTCGGTGGGTAGGTGGTGGGAACTGGGTCCGTTGGTGTTGGGACCGGGTCCGTTGGAACTGGGAGTGGGTCGGTGGGTGCTGGAATTGGGTCGGTGGGTGCTCGGAGTAGGTTCATGTTTACCCGGAGTAGGTTCGTGTTTGTTTGCTTGGACTGGGTCACTGGGTGCTCGGACCGGGTCACTGCGCACCCTGTTTTGTGGAGAGGTGTGTGGGTTGGTGTGTGGATGTTTGTTTGGTGGTGAGGTGTCTTTGGGTGGAACGCCGTTGTGGTGTTTGAGGTGGTGATTGAACCGCTTTTAGTCGAAGGAAAGTTCTAAGACTGTCGAGGTTTGGAATGCTTTTCGGAGATGGTGGTAATGGCGGCTGCAGTATATGAGATCCTGTTGTGTTTGCCATGAATTTTGCGTGCCACAAGGCGATGTGGCCTTTTACGGTGCTCAAGAGCATTTCGGTTGTGGCTCGCAATTTCTTTCAAGTTTAGAGGCGCCATTTGATGAGTTTGTTTTTGCTTTTTTTTTTTTGGTGTGTTGTTCGACCGCTTTGTGTTAGGGTAACGAGTTCCTGTGCTTGGATCCGTAAGCCTTTTTAGTCCTTTTTCCTCTTTTCGATTTTGTCGGTCAATTTCTGGGTTTCCTTTTTCACAGGGAGTGGGTCCGCTGGCTGGATGCAGCTGGAGACCTGGTGGCGCTTGAATTCGAAACCTGTGCTTAGTTGTATTTTTGCCTTGGGCACTGGGCCCGGAAAAAAAATAAAAAAAATAAAATGATACATCCACGTGTCTATATATCGTCACAAAAATATATATATAACATTCTGTTTGTGACGATATATATATATTGTATAGTTGTATACACACTCGTAATATATATATATATATATATAAAAGAATATTATTGTAAAGATTTAAGGAAGAAATTCAGACTAAAAAGGGGACATCTCTTTGTGGATGGTAAGGGAGGCCTACCTCCACTAAGAGTGGTCTGTGGTAAAGAGAGGCATATATATTTACCCTTTCATATTATTATTGTGACGATATATTATATGACCTTTTATATGTATATACACATGTTTTTTTATTTATTTATTTGAATGCTGTTGTTTTGAAAAGATCGTTCTTGATGTTATATGGTCTTCATTTCCATGGTAGTTTGGTGGCCCCTGAATTCGGAACCTGTGCTTAGTTGTATTTTTGCCTCGGGCACTGGGCCCGAAAGTAAAAAAGAAAAAAAAAGGATACATCCACGTGTGTATATTTATATATATCGTCACAGACAGAACTGCCCGGTAAACCATAGGCAGAGAGAGAGAAGAGGACAACAAACGAGGGGCTGTGACAAACTGTTTCGTCGGAGTTTCACTGACTATATGACGATATATATGTATATATATATATTGCATAGATGTATACATACTCATAATATATATTTTATATATTATACCCTTTCGCATTATATATATTATACACCCTTTTATATGTATATACACATGGGTTCGTTGTGGTTAGAAAAAGCGGTTCGCTCCCGCCCCCCCCCCCACACACACACACCCTCCCATCCCACTCCTCAATAAATAAATTAGAAAAAGAGATGAGACGCAAATCAGAGGTGGAAATGAGAGGGTGTATATGTGCGTGTGAGGCGTGGGGTATGAAGGGTGCTGATGCAATGGTTTCCAATTTGGTGTGAATGTCGTTGTTTGTTGTCCTGTGCGACCGCTGCTCTTGCATGCTTTCCATCAATGAAAAATGCCTCGCAACGTACGTATCGCATTCGACGCATTCGTTTCCTTTCGTGCGTTGGGTGGTCTACATCGCGAGTGCGATGTACCGGTTGTTGTCCTATGGCTGCTTTGCTTCGGTACAGTTTTGCTAGCGTACAGAAAAGTCGTGGTTTGTGGTCAGTTGACTGTGCTATGCGGTCTTAGTGCAGTTTTGTCCAGAGTGCGCCGAAAGACCGCATGGCATTGTTCTTCTGCAGGGTTCGGACGCAACCATGGATGGTCAACGCCCTTTGCGGTTGGGGCCTTGGCGGGAAGCCCTTATGCTTCACAGGTCGTGCGATGATATTTCGCACGCTCCACACGTGTTTCCGGACCACCTTCGATTTCGAAGCGGTTCATGCAATGTTACCGTGGATGCGCGTGTGCATGCCGATGGGTGGTTGGGGAGAACGGTCCAGGATATCCCAGAAGCGGCACATTTGTTTACGGTGGAACATGCGCATGGCAGTCGATGGACTGTTGTGGGCAATAGCGATTCCCGTGCGTCGGAGTCTTTCCCGTTCCCGACATCTGCGCCGGTGAATTTCTTGCCAGGGGCTGGGTACGAGGTACCTGGTCCTTCCACGACAGCTTCACGTGTGAATGCACAAACCTCGCTGTTCACCACACCTAGGTTTGGTCTTCAAGACGTTCCCCAGAAATTCGTTCTCCTTCACCACAGCCCCTGGCGGAAGCCTTCTCCGCGCGACTTTGCGAAAGACCCGGAGGTTGGGCGTGGAAGCTGAAGAGGAGACGTTGTCAAACACCGGTTGCGGCGCCCTCTGCGGCCGGTCATCACACAATCGATCCTACGTTGGTTGCTGCTCCGTTGTGTCAGGCACCTTACGAGGATATAACTAACTGCACCACTCCTCGGTTCTCTCCGGAGTTCTTATTTTTACATTCCCTCCTTTTTGCGCACGTATCGTTGACGCCGGCTTTGGGATCAGGGGGCCGTTCCGCAGAGGGTAGGAACCTTCTTCCCCGCAATCAACGTTGCGCATCGTTCGCTGCTGTTACGATGGCGGAAAAAAACACGTTGTCGCCGAATACCGGTGGCGGACATTCGAGTATTAGACTACCTGCAGAGGGCAGGAACCTTCTTCCCCGCAATGAACGTTGCGCACCCTTCGTTGTCGTTACGATTGCGGAAAAAAACACGTTGTCCTCGGATAGCGCTGTGCGACTTTGAGTATTCGACTAGGTGAAAACGAGTGCAGGGTTCCCACCGGTGCAACGGCTCATTGGCGTTGTGGGAAGGTGTTGGCCACGGTGCACTCTCTGCCCCGCGGACATGCGAGTTTCGTAGAGGAACGGGGGCGCGAATGGGCATTGAACGAGGATTTAGGACGGACACAAGGACAGCGGGCTGCCCTGTCTGAAGCGCCGAGTCGTAGTTACGACTTTGGTGCTTGCCACGGTTGGCTCGACGGGGGGTCTCTCGGGGGTGTGGTGCCTGTACGTTGCCCGGTGTCGTGGCCCGGTACCGGTAACGTAGCTTTCAGGGGAGGCTGGCGGAGTCGCTCCGGATGTTGACTCAACAGTCTTTGGAGACAGACGCGTATTTCAGCTTCCACTGGAAATGGAGCGGGAGCCGTCGTGTGTGCCGCAAAGTGTGCGAGCTGCCTCCTCTGCGGCTGGCAACCTCGACGGGCTCGATCCGCAGGGGAAGTCTGTGCCTGTTGAAGGTGGGGTGGGGGGGGTGTCGTGCGAACCTGTGCGGAAGGAGAGCGCGAGATTGTCACGACGACAGCACAGTCTTATATCTCAACTTGCCCGACTGAAGCCGCCGGCTTCAGCGGCTGTTGTGTGGACTTCGGGCGATGGTCCTGTGAGTGGTGGCAACTCAGGTGGCTCGGTTGGACGGGGGTTGGCATCCAGCGCGGCCACTGCGCGTGCGGTGCGACGGTTGAGAGTGTCAAGCTGGCGAAAGCGCAGGGCGTCGACACCTGGCGAGGGCGCACAACACCGGTCGGACTTGGAAAGACATGCGCCTGCCATTGAGGAAGGGGGCGAGGGGGCCGAGGAACGTCACGTCGATACTGGAAGTCGTTCGGCGGTGGACGTAGCCGTGTTACGTTTCGGGTCCGTGTCCCGCGCATCCGATGTGGTGGCTGGTGCGGTGCCGCCGCGTTGCGCGATCGTGAACCATGCGCAGATCTTGGGCAACGTGGGCACCGTCGATCCATACAGCCTCGGGGAACATTCCCCTTGCCAACATTGCGGTGCTCTGCTTTGGAGGCATGAGCATGCGTGGAAAACGATTTGCTGTAAACAAGGCAGGACGAAGTGCCGATTGTGGGAGATGCCGGAGGCAGGAACTGCGGCACACTCGGTGCTGTCGCTGTGGACAGAGGACTCTCGCGAGGGCAGGCTTTTGAGGGCAAATTCGCGTAGGTTCAACAACGCATTGTGCCTCGTGTCTGCGCACATGAGGAAAGCGGAGCAGGGATTGCGAGGATTCGAAGGGCAGTTGAAGATCCAAGGGCCTGTGCACCACTGTCTTGGGCCCTTGGAGCCGGAGCCGGAGCCGGAGCCTGGCCAGAAGCCGCAATTCGCACAAATGTACATTTACGACCCTACTGAGGTGGAGGCTCTTACGGACATGCGAGTGGACACGATGCGCCTTCCCGACAACACGACAGAGTGCGAGATCCGCGCAATTCGGCAGTTGGTTGCTCGCCTTCACGGACTTCTGCTGCTATGCAATCCGTATGTGCGTGACTTTATAACGTATCACGAGATGCCTGGTGCGCACCGGGACGGGGTTAGGATTGTTATTAACCCCCACACGCGGCCAAGCGGTGAGCATGAACGGCGGTACAACAAACCGGAAGGCCTGCTAGAGTTGTGCGTGCTGATTCCGGACAAGTTGTTGCCGGGTGAGGTGGAGGTGCGTTGTCGACCGGAGCGCAACGCAGGTTGTGCGGTGACAAAGGTTGCCGATGACAATAGGGCGTACGATCCTTTGCATTATGTGCTTTTGTTTCCGACTGGCGAGGATGGTTGGGACAGACTACCCGACACTTCGAAAGGGAACCCCAACAGCATCACCGCCAAACAATTTTATGCGTTCCATCTGCATGAGAGGTGTGGCGAGCGTACGACCCTGCTTTGCGCGAAGCGATTGCTTCAAGAGTACTGCTGCATGGCATACGCCAAGGTTGAGACTCATCGCTTGGCGATTGCTTCAAGAGTACTGCTGCATGGCATACGCCAAGGTTGAGACTCATCGCTTGAACTACTTGGAGTTCAACCAGGACAGAATGCGATGCGAACGGTACAAGGAGCTGCGGAGAGCTGTCCAGCAGAATGAGCATGGGGACGGAGGTCTTTCTGCCGTCGACCTTCACGGGCGGGCCCCGTTACATGGCCGAGAAGTATTACGACGCCATGGCCGTTGTTCAAAAGCTCGGGAGACCCGATTTGTTCATTACAATGACTTGCAACAGCAATTGGCCTGAAATCTTGGATGCGCTGATGCCGGGTCAAGTTCCCAGCGACAGGCCGGACCTGTTGGCGCGTGTGTTTCGCGGTCACCTGAAGCAGTTGATAAATGAAATAAAGGACAAGCGCATCTTTGGAGCGGTGAGCGCGGTCTTTTACACCGTCGAGTTCCAAAAATGCGGTCTTCCTCATGCACACATCCTGGTGATACTCGATAGGGGCCAAAAACTGTCCAATCCGGATGCTGTGGACGAAGCGATATCCGCGGAGATACCGCCGGACGGAGAGCTTCATGAGAAGGTGTCCAAGTTTATGATCCATCAGATGTGCGGCGCTGCGAAGCCCTCCGCCGCCTGCACGACCAACAAACGCTGCACAAAACACTTACCGAAACCGTTTGTGCGAAAAACCACCTTCCAAACGGGGAGCTTCAACGCTCTGGGTGCAACCGTCTTCCGCTCTATGCTGACATCACCGAAACCCACACGTGGCACAAGACTGACAAGCGGTGGAAATTGCGCCTTTCGGCTGGGAGAAGTGGCGCCTTTCCCAAGATCGGCCGCCTGCAGCGTGCGTACCCGGCTCAGGGGGACCTCTTCTACTTGCGCATCCTCCTCGGGCATGAACATTCTCGTGGCGCGACGTCTTTCCCTGCGTTGAGAACGGTGGAGCACGGGGAGTTGGCCACGTTCCGAGAAGTTTGTCAGCGCCTCCACCTTCTTGATGACGACTCGGAGTACGACAAGGATATGGAAACGGCGGCTCTTCATTACATGCCGCACCAGATCAGGCAAGTGTTCGCCATGCTGCTTGCATACGGGCCTGTGTCTGACCCCATGGCGCTGTTTTTTAAGCACTGGCAGCCCATGTGTGAGGACTACGTGAGGAAGCTGAGGGGCATGGGTGTCGCGCCGGGGGTTCTGCAAGCGTTGGCGTTGTTGGACATTCACGTTCAGCTGCTGGACATGAAAACGACTATGGGAGGTGTTGGTTTGGCGTTCCCCGACCCGGAAGCGCAGCGCGTTGCTGAGGAGCTGTGCGCTCGGATTCTCCTTGAGGGCTTGCCCGAACTGATCCGAGAGGAGCTCAGTTACGACAGGGCGGATATGGAGAGGCAGTGGGGAGCAAACTACCCTTTGCTTCGCCCTTCGCAAAAAGAGCTGGTCGATGGCGTTATGTCCGCTGTGCTGAACAGGAGTCCGCTGTGCGTTTTTGTGGATGCTCCCGCCGGAACGGGCAAGACGTTTTGCATTAACACCATACTTGCTCGCGTGCGTCGGCATGAAAACTGCATCGCTTTGGCGGTCACGTCCAGCGGAATAGCGTCGCTTCTGCTTCCCGGCGGACGAACGTTCCACTCGCGGTTTCAGGCGCCTATTCGGCCGGATGCTAAGAAAGCTTTTCCTATTCGAAGACAGGGGGAACTTGCGCGCCTGATAAGAATGTGCAGCCTTATAGTTTGGGACGAGGCACCGATGACGCACCGCGCGCAGTTGGAAGCTCTCAACATCACCCTTGCAGGATATCTGTCAAACGGACGAGCCCTTCGGTGGCAAGGTGCTTTTGCTGGCGGGTGACTTCAGGCAGGTTTTGCCGGTGGTGAGAAGAGGCAGTCGGGCAGAGCAAATCAGGGCTTCCATAAAATCGTCGCCATTGTGGGAGCACTTCAAAACGCACAGGCTACACGAGAACATGAGGGTTCTGCATTGTGGCGATGATGAGATCACAAGAAAGTTCGCTGCTTTCCTGCTGCGTGTGGGTGACGGGGAGCACGACGTCGTGGACCCTGCGGATCCCGAGACAATTGAGCTGCCGCCGGAGATATGCATGGGCCCGGATCTTGGTGCACTCATTGACTGGATGTTTCCCGACCTCGGTCGGCATCTTCACAACCCCGACTACCTCACGGGGAGGTTCGTTTTGTGCCCCAAGAACGACGCTGCGTACGTTATCAATAATCTCATTTTGGATGGTCTCCCTGAACCGGACATCGTCTACAGGTCACTTGACAGCGCACCTACGGACTCGTACGGTTTGAACGTTCCCGTTGAGTACCTCAACAGCTTGAGTTGCTCCGGCTTCCCGCCGCATGTGCTGCGCATAAAGGAGGGGGTTCCGGTTATGTTGCTGAGAAACATCTCTGTGCAAATGGGCATGTGCAATGACACTCGCCTGATTGTCAACAAGTCCGTGTCTGGGCGGCTCATCGAAGCCACGATTCTGCCCAGTCGTAAGATCGCGGTGATACCTCGGTTGACTCTAGACTCCGACGACTCTGCTGGCTTCCTGTGGATTACGATTACGATGAAGTCCCGGCGACGCTTGACGAGCCGTCTGAGCCTGAACACTGCGCTCCGACGCCGATGGAATCGGTGCGCGCGAGGAGCCCTTTAGCTATCCATACTCCGATGGGTTCGTTTCTGCTGGATATATACCAGGTAGGTGTGGACATTGGGGATTTATCTGGGGATGAGTCGACCGATTCCCGGGAGCGGGACCGATCGYCGCCGGCCGAACTTCGCGGTGGATCGGATGGAGCGCCTGCTCGCTATGTCGGGCAGTCGAGTCCATACGGTGTGTCGGCAGGCAGGTCACCGCTCCCCTCCACAACTCCTGTGGCCGCTGTCCGGATGAATGCTGATTGCGCGGGTGGGCACGGGGTGAGTAAGGAGGCGTGTGAAATCGATACCGGCACCGGCAACTTACAAACGCCGTTTACGGCGTCTACAAAGTGCGTCCGAACGTCCCAGCCGGATGGGACTTCGGCCTTTGTCCCCTACATTCGACCTTCCCAATCCTCCACTTCGGCTGTGCATGATAGAGCTCCGCATTTGCGACCGTTCGGATCTACTCCGGCATGCGGAAATTGCGGGCCGGTGTCAGTGTTTGCAATGCCGCCACGCGAGGTCGTTGTAGGGCCCAGTTTGACGTCGGACGCTGCGCATAGACCCGATGCTTCATCCTCGCTTGCACGGAGAGGGGCAACTTACTCCGGCCAGTCCGAAAATGTAGTCGTGGGCCCGATGATCACACCATCCTACGGCAGCAATGGTTGTTGGCCCGGTACGACAATGGTTTATCACGACATAAACTCCTACGATCCGCCTATCTGGTTGGATGCGAAAAGGACTGTCATTCTTGACCGCAAGACGCAGAGGATAGTCGAGTCTTGGAYGGACATTCTCGACAGGGTTGGTAGGAGACGAATCGTGAATTGGATGCTATTCGRCCTGTTCTTGGATGGAGACCGGGTGGAGCCTACGGAACACATTTGGCTAGACTTTTTGCTTGCGAGAGGCAGGATCGAGCGTAGGTTTGTCGCGCATCGTGACAAATTCGTGTGCGATAACGGATCGCTGGACGACGCGCATGAGCTTAATTGAGGCCATCCTCCGGCATGAACATGCCACGAGGCCTGGATTTGAAAAATTCGCTAAATTTCAGGACGATTACGTGCCGTTTGAGATCTATAGGTACGCTAGATTGGATGAAATTGCTTCACGTCTGCCGGACGTGCCGAGGGCATCACGTCCTTATGCCAAGGCGTGTCACGGAGATTGCCCGATTGCCACATATGCACCCCCCGTGCACTGGGTTTCGCAGGCCTGCATCCGTATTCGAACTCGCAGGATAGCAGAGGCCTCTGCTGCGTGTGATTACGCACATGGCCGGTCGCCATTGACGTTCAGCAAGCCGGCAGACAAATCTCCGATGACTCCAGCCTTCACCACACCTGCTGCGCGCCGTGTCCAGCGTAGTTTGTTTCTCCCTGCGACACCCCCGCCTTTCCCTCTTCCCGCAGCCGACCGTGAGGCCGGATCCTCCGCGTCCAAACACCGTTCTGCGCAGCTTTCCGCAGGGCCATCTGCGTGGATCGAATCGCTGTCTTCTGTTGGTCCTCACCGCACGATCTCTGCCCTCTGCGCGATAGAGACTTCTCACAGGTTGCAACAGATAGGTGCTGTGATGGCTGCAGAGAACGAAGCCGTCGAGGACTGGAGTGCTGTTGAGGCCATGATGTTCGTGGATTATTGTCGCCAAGGTCACAACAAGGTCGCCACCTTCGAACAGTACAAGACAGCTGCGGCCTCCTACATCGCCAAGGTCAGCCAAGAATGACGTGCGTACCAG